GCTGAATCTAGAAAGGCTGAGAACTTGGGAGGAGTCTGGTTGCGGGATAATACATATTAGGTAGGAATCCACTTCTCTTGGTAGATTCCAATTTATTGTTTGAAGATCTGTATCAATAATCACAGTCTAGCATTTAAGTATACAATGAAGTGAAAACCGAACACCTTTGACCAATAAACTACAACTTTTTGTCTATTCTATGCCTCAATTCTCTCTTCCCTAAAGACATGGTGATATGCCAGTGGCTTCTCCACTAACAAATCTGAAGACTAATAAGACACCAGAAGCCCAGCTATTCATTCCCGCAAGCGTGCCCTAGAACTCTCCCCAGGGTCCAAGGGCTGCAGGAACTGCCGGCCGCCGACACCTAGAGGCGGCGCAGGAAGCCCTCGGCCGCTCGCTCCGCTCCGCACAGGCGCAGGCGCGGGTGGGAGCAGCCAGGCCAGCGGCCCCTCTCCCTCCGTGAGTGTTCGCGTTTCGGGCACGGCTACGTGCAGCGCGCACACGCGCGGACCTTTCTCTAAACGGTCCGGAGTGTGTAGCACACGCAGTGTATTTACGCACTCGGCACACAGCACTGCCCGAAGTCATGCCGCCTCTTCAGATGGGCTGCCCACAGGAGGCGGGCATGTGCAATGCTCTGCATGTCTTGGGTTGGCAGCCCCGGGCGGAGCACCTGGGAAGCGCTTTCTGCCCGACAGGGTTTAAGAACGTGGTTTCGTCTCCCTTCCAAGTGTGCAGGAACCATTTTTAATCCTGTGGGTTGTGAGGTCCTGGAGTTTTGTTGGTGTCATAGTTTTAACATTCATCTTAGTGTGAACAATGTTGAATTGAGTTGTCTGCTCAGATTTTAAAGTAATTAAATGCAAATTAGGAAGTTGTAAGTAAATCAGTGGGTACTTGTGAAAGAATAGTGTTTAGGATTCCTCTTGCTTTTATCATCATTTCAGAGTATTGATTCTATTAAGATTAGTTCTTATTTTCCTAAATCTTAGAGAAGAGTCGCCGCTGAGGGCCAGGAGCAGTGGGTTTCAGTCTTGGTTTTCTGTGAATTGAGTAGGTGAGAAAGATCAGGATGTGAACCTCAGTTTTTGCTCCTGTAAAATAGTTCAGCTTTATTTACCCAGACAGGGGTGGGGAACATCCAGCTCATGGGCTATACACGGGCCTCAAAATCATTTGGTCTGGCCCTGCCAAGGCAACTGCAGGCGGGATTCAATACATCTAAGAGTTTTTCCCAAAGCTAATTTTTAAGTTGATAATTTTGAATGGCCTGTGAATGATGTTATAAATATCCAAGTGGCCCTTGGAAGAAATAAGGTTCTCCAACCCTGAAACATTATAAGATAAAATAAATAAATAAATAAAAAATTAAAAAGTATCATTACTCCATGGAAAGACTTTTTTAAAAAAGTTATATTGAGAATACTAACATTATAGAAGGCATGTGCATATTTCATTTCCAAAATTAAGTGGTAAATTACACATCTGACACTCAGAGGCTCATAAATAAGTTCATGTGGGGAAAGGAGTACAACAAACTTGTTTTCCCTCCTCACGATATATCTCTAGGATTCACCTATCTCATCTTTACAGCCTGATGGTCTCTGAAGCATTTGAGAATATTAGGAAGTATAATATTTGAGAGGAATGATATGGAGTTGGACCAATGTTATCATATAAGTCTTACTTAGAGCCTGAGTATTGATTAAAGTACTGGGTTTTCAGTACATGAAACTTCATTGGCTTTCCTGTGAGCAATCCAGTTCTTAGGTTTCTGATCTTTGACTTCCAGTCTGATGATTTTCAATGCTCTTCTGAAAAGAAGTGCAGAGTAAATTTCCCAAGTTTAGAAACGACAGGACGCCAACCGGCCACTCATGGATGTCCAAGACTGTCAAGCGGGCATCCATATCAGGATGCTGCTCAGTTTATTTACGGTGCTACTCACATTCCCAGCCAAAGGTAAAGACATATAACAAATGTGAGAGGAAAGTATGGTGCTTTTTCTGTTTGTCTTGGTATAAATGCAATTAATCACCCGCAGGGCGTGAAATGCCTACGGGTCCAAAAACAAAGGTTCCCATTCGAAACCTCAGCCTCTTCAGGACACTAGGCAGAACAGATGTCCGCTGATTCTGATGTACTTTTGTCCACTCCTTGCTGGGTCTGCCCACTGAGAAGGTGGAAGGTCCCACCATCCTACCTCGGAGTGCAATAAATATCCATCGCTTCAAGATTTCTAACTGGGCTCAACTGCTTTACTGAGAGAGAAGCTTTATCTAGTCCTAGAGCAGGTTTTATGGCTCTTGTGATTCACCTAATGGGCAGCTCAGCTCTGGAACAAACAAGCAAGCAAAGTACTAAAGTCACTAATACCACTCGTCACTCCAGGCAAACACGTAGGTCCAACTTCCCAGGAATCAGGGCATTGAGCTCTTGAGCCCTGGAGCCCCCACCCCCCCAACCTCAGCCTTTGGGCCACTATTCTTGTTTCACCATGTCTGGGATCTGTCACCACTCTCTTTTAGTGGATTTGCCATTTTCCTTCTTTGCTGTGTACTTTTAGAGTAGGGGATTTAAGGCCATGACAGTGGGTGGATGTGAAAGACAAAAGAAAAAAATATTCAAGAGATGACAACCTTTTAACATGAGGATTATCTGGGACTAGTTGAATAGTTACTCTGACATATGCAAAAACATTCACATGCATATGGGGTTTTGCCCTTGGCTGATGTGGGTCCTTTGGAAAACACTAGCACAAGTAGATGGTTTCTAGTCTCCAAATGATATGCCCTGAACATGAATCCTTTCCCTAGAATGAAGAAAAGAAGAGGGGGAAGGAAAAAATTATCTAGTGAAAGAGCAATGAGCTGCTCAGGGCTAGAATCATAGAAAGTAAGCAAGAGAAAGTGTAGATCAGAGAGACAGGCAAAGAGAAGAGCGAAGCTTCTCGTCTAAAAACAGACTCTTCTAACTGTAGCATCTAAATATTATTGATAAAACCGCTGTTCACATTTTTAGCCTCAATCTTGAATATCAAAAAAGGAACATTACAGAGAGTGCATGCATTAGAAACACCGTTTGTGGTACCAAAACAGCACAGAGCCTAATTCCTCCCACCCAGGTTTCCAAGAGGCTCATTTGGTGTCGACACCTAATCTGATGGTTAACAAAGAATTCCCACAGAAAACACTTAAACGTGCCAGAGAGGGAAACCAATATACTTTTGGCAATATACTGGGGAAAGAGAGCTAGAACTAACGGTTGAAAAACACAATATGGCGAAAGTCAACTCAAAAGCTCGGTTCATGGTCAACCAGAAAGCAGTAAGTTCTATAAGAAAACAGGTCTCGAGCATGGGCACTAATACTCATGGCTGTGTGATTGCAAAATCAGTGCATATAAAAAAAATAAATGCGCTCCCTGTACTAGTTGAAACAGCATGGGACAGTCTGCTTGGCCCGTGGGCCTTTCTGTTGGGGCTTACAGGGAGACAGGGGAAAACAAAGGACACGGGAGCAGTTGCTCGCTCGCCCGTTTTGCAATCAGTGTGTCCCTCCCCGCCCCATGGAATCTGCAAGTCACAGAAAAACCAGAATGGAGCATGAAAAACGACAGCAATCGCTCAGAGTATCCGATGGATGGCGAGGGAAGAGGTAAAGGGTTAAAGGACAGTGACCTTTCCATTCCCACTCCGCTCAGACCAACAGGAGGCGCCTGTGCCAACAATCCCGCGGGACGCTGGTCAGCGCTAAGATGTGTTTTGCCAGCCACGTAGGACACAACCGCGAGACCCGGTGATTCTGAGGCGTCAAGGGCCCTCAAACATTAGCTACTTCAGTCGCTGCTGCAGATAAGTAAGTAATTTGAAGCCCAGAGAAGTGAAGTGCTGAGCGTCCCTGAGGTAACGGCCGAGCTCAGTCCCAGGCCTCCCGTTTGTTTCTCACCATGACCGGCACCCTAGTTCTGCGGGACACGGGCTGGGCCTTGCAGAGAAAGAGCCTCACCCCCACCCCTGCCTGTCCCGGCGCCTGGCGGGCAGGAAGCAAAGGGCTTTAACCGCGCTGCTTCGCTTGACCCAAAAGGTGACTTCAGTGACAGCATTCCTAAAAACCGTGCCAGGCACACAGTTTACCAAGCACCCTGGAAAAGACCCCGGAATTACAGCACGCCAGCGTTTCCAGGGAATGCTTTACTTAGGACAGAGTTTCCTTTTAATCTGTATTTGGCTTATAAAAGTGGCTTGCTCTGTACTCAAAGGAGACCTGGGTTCAAGGGACACAGCTCCAAGTTTCCAAAGCAAAAAACTACTCATCTTACGCTTTTGGTGACTCAGTGGGACCATGGGACCATATTAAAATAGAAGCAAACCAATTTTTTAAGGATCAAAAAACAACCATCCCCCTTTTAGCTAGAACTTAGATACCATCTAGCCCAACACCCTCCTTTTACAAGTGACAAAAACTGAGACGGCCGATTTAAAATGACTTGGCTCAGGCCACACAGCCAGTATGTAAGGAGCTAGGTCTTAGAGGCAGGATTTCTGCCTCCAGGGTTGCTGCTTTTCGTTATTTTAGAAACCACAATAAGATAGAAGTCTACAAGCGAGAAAAATGAAAGAAAAGGACAATTATCCCGCGCATGTCGTTGTTGTTTTAAAATGTCTGTTATTTTTAACTGGAGTTACGTTTTGACATAAAATGTTTCCCAGTTTTGTTTATAATCACAGGCAGCATCGATGCAAGAAAAAAAATTACATTTCAGGAGCTCTGTTAAAGATCAGGGAATAAATTCACTTCATTGCCTGAATTTTATAAAGTTTCCTGGTCCTCAGATAATCTTCTACAGACAAATACCACCCTATTGCTGATAAGAACAAGAGATAAGTAACACTGCACATTTTAAATGTCACATGCTTCGAATTTTATACCGTGCTCCTCTAAATGAATCCACGAGAGAAAAAGACCGTGCTAAATAAATGCAGGGCTGGGGCTTACATTCTCGTGCTGCTGGTCTTGTTGATGATGACAGATTTTCCAGTCTGATCCACATTGTGATCCAGCCCGAAGTAAGCGGCCACACGATGGACGAGCATCCTCTGGTAGGATGACATCTGAGGGAACTTTTTATAATGATTACTGCAAGAGAGTTCCAACAAGAGCGGAATCAGCATTTTTGCCTCTGGCCTGAAGTACGTTTTACAGGTACCCACACAAAATCCCCAACCGTATCTCTTTCCGCCAGACCACTCCATCTCTGGCATCACTTCACGTCCCCATTTTGACAAATTGTCCACTTACTATAGATTTATCGATGACACTACAATAAATATCTTTGTTTCATAGTTGCACATTTCTCTGGCCAAAGAGATCATAAAGTCTGTTGGAAAGTACTCTGTTTTGGTCCACGATACCTTATCGATGGAGCCAGGCACAGGACAAATGATATGACATAATACACGAGTGCAGATGCCTATCTGGAGATGTGTCATTACACGGTTTACAGTGACAGCGAGCGGCACAATTATTTCCAGGCATAACTGACTGCAGCCAGCTGGAGCCCATTAAAAAACTATCATAAAAATGAAAAGGGTCGCTTCTTGCTACAGCTACTCTATGCTAATCAGTGGCCCCCCTGTTCATAGCTATTTTGTCAGGAATTTAACAAGCAGGAGCACACATGGTCCAAGCAACAATTCCCATTAGCATATAGCTCCAATAGAATCTCCATTTAACAAATCAGCAAGCGTATTAAACGTTTTATCCATCCCTAACTCTTTCCAGAATGAATAATTAAAGCCAAATATCAAATTAAGATACATCAGACAAATTAACCAGCATTGCCATTTAACATACTTGTTGTCACCAATGAAATCAATAATTTCCTGCTCCATTTTCAAGAGTATCATCCTGTCCCTGCAAAATAAATGTGAAAATGAAAAAGGTTTTATGTATTTCCCATTGCCAAAGACCTAAAAAGTTCATTTTGGATGTATGGAAAATATTGTTTTAATGTATGTGGCTACAGACCTGTGTCTAACCCTTCTCGGGACTACGCAGTCCAATACATAGGATTTCATTCTAGTCACGATTATTTCCCATCTCCTTGGTTAACTATTTTGTAATATTGAAACTTGTGCAGTTTTAATATTAATTAGGATATGCAAGGTATTAGGCCCATAAAACACATCAAATAAATTGTATATTTTAAATTAATTGGAAACTAGAACATACCAAAGCCCAAGTAGATGGTTTTATAACTGCATTGAAGCATAATTGGTTTATCTGATATTGATTTTTTCCTTCTATTTTCCCCCTTATCCAATATCTCTCAGTGACAAGGAGAGCAGAACTTGTAAACTATAACTTATTCACCCAGGAATTAAGACTCCCTATCAACAGTAAGCATACAAACCATTCACCGAAAAGTGAAAATACGAGAGATAGTTGAAGACATCAGAGAAGGCGCCTGCACTTCACAAGTCCCCTCTTAGAAGTATCTGGATTCATGACTTTGATTGTAATAGTCCACTTGACCCTTCTAACAATAAGAGGTTTGTTTAAGAATTTACCTGGAATTATTCTTTAACGTGTTAATCAGAAACTCATGTAAGTCTATGCCTGTAGAATCCGTGTATTCTTGGCTGCAATCTGAAACAGACAGCAGGGCGGCGTTGTCAGGGGTGGGGTGGGG